GGTGGGGGGGGGACGGGACACGGGGCTGGGCGATGCTACGCCTGGCAGGGTGACGCCAGCCCATCCGTAGGTGGCACCACCGGAGCTCAGACTTGTTTTCTTAGACAGGGACACAGTAAAACTAAACAGCTTCCATCTGAAACAGGTCTGTCCTCAAGCCACAGCAAACAATCTCTGTTTCTGCACTCGGCTGCGGAAGCAAGCGCAGAACATCTCTACCTGGAACGTGAAACGGTTTGTTGTGGCCTCAGGCGCTGGCTGGGATGAAGTCCGAGGGGGATGAAGTCCGAGGGGGAAGCAGCAGAGCCAGGCACAGGTGGGGTAAAGGGAGTGGAGAAGCTTCCTTCATCTCACCCCTCCTGCTCCAGCGCCGACCGACGGGGCTTAGTGAGGTCGGGATGTGTACAACAAAGGAGAGCCAGGGCAGGGAGCCTGCCTGGCGTCAGGATGGAGTCCAGCGGGTTCCAGAAGATCCACTCCAGCTTTGTCAAGGGAAGGTCACCGACTGCCCAGGCGCCTTGCTGGGGGGCTGGAGCTGGGACGCCGCCTTCCCAGCTCACGTCTCGATAAGGATGTACCGGAGAATCCCATTGACCACATCCAGCGTCTCGTCGCTCTCCAGCACGATGTCGGAGGCATCCAGGTACTTTCCCCTCCGCTCTTCTGCGTGGCGGCCGGGACGGGGCGGAGGGGAGAGGCCAGAGAGGAGAGGACTGTAAACGCCAGCAGCTGAGAATGAAGATGCTGCACCCACAGCCCTTGCATCTCTTGATGTGCCGCAAAGAGGGGTCGATAACCGCCCTGACAATGCCCCAGGTGCAGCGGGAGCTCAGCAGACACCCCCCAGCTCCCTTCGCACACCCCACAGGAGCTCATACGAATCTCTTGCACCCCCCAAATCACTCAGACAGCTGCCTGCCCCTCTCTGCTGCCCCCTAAGCTTCGCACCTGGGGACGGCTGGCAGGGAAGCAAGACAACTGCTCCTCACACCCACCTTGTCGTTGAGAAAGCCAATCTTGAGGATGTTCTCTACACTAGGGATGCCGTCTGCCATCGTCACATCACCCATGGAGTCCCCCAGCAAGATGATGCTCGTCCGAGTGCTCAGCTGCTGGAAATACTCCGTACCCTGCAGGATGCTGTTGTTCTTGTTGTAGGTGTGGATGAGAGGTCCCTTGAAATGTGTGAGGACTCCCTGTGCAAACAGGACAGACAAATTGATCCCGCAGCAATCCCTTCACTGAGCCGCAGCCTCAGACCCTTTTTGGAATGGGGGAAGGTGGGGGAAACACGCTCACAGGGCACCAGCTCTCACCTCAGAGACACCCTCGAGGACTCTGGAAACCCAACAGCCACGAAACACCTGGAGACAGCCCCCAGGAGTCCCCTTGTGCAGGGCAAGCCCTTCCCAAAGGTGAGACCAAGCCCAACGGATGGAGACCCTAGAGACCTTGGTCAGGGCTCTGCGCTGCCCTGGAGCTGGTCAGGGGCCACGGAAAGCCGCAGTCAGGGGAGCCCCAGGGCAGAGCGGGGCCCCTGCAGAAGGCAGGACTGTCACGCTGTCCCGTGCTCCCCTGAGGACTGCCTGTCCCAACACAGCACCCGTGGGAACAGAGGGCTTCATTGTAAGAGCCATGCGATTTTCTAAGTGCACTGGGACTTTTCGGGCTTTAGTACATCAACAAAAGCCTTCCAAGCTGCTTTAAAGGACATCTGGCCTTCAGATCAGCAGAGACCTCTGCGGTTAACTCCATCCTTACCCTGCACCAGGGCGGAGCACGCAGAGATGGCAGCGCACTTCTGCCACCAAGGAGCCAGTTTGATCCCCGAGATCGCGTGCGGATGCTCAGCTGTTCCTGCTCTCTGCCTGCCGACCTTATCCACCCTCTGCTCTCTCGCTGCTGATCCAGCTCGCGGTGAGGGCAGGGGAACCTCTAACACCCGCCCAGTGCTGATGCTGAGGGCTGCTACGGTGGCAGCAGGTCACAATCCCTGAAGGCAGAGCAAACGGGGCAGGAGGCCACAACCAGGCTCTACAGCCCTGCCCTGCCCCAGCAAAGAGTCAGCTCCATCGACAGGGATCACGTTAACATGGAAATGTTAACGGGCAGCTTTTAACCCAGCGGTGTCCCTGCTAAACGAATTGCAGCCCTCAGTTCCAGCTGAACAACTCTCCTCTCTGCAAGCTCACCACACGTACGCGACGCAGAAACTCACATTATCGTCGAAGTCCATGTAGTTGGACACCACGTTGACGTTTGAGTAGAAGACGTTGGCCTGACGGATAATCTCTTCAACGATATCACCGACGCCAGCAGAGAAGATGAACAGGGGGACGTTGTACTTATGCAGCTGATCAAATAATTCATTGAATCCATCCCTAGAGCAGAAGTGTCCATTACAGAGTATTGCATTACCAGCTCGCAGCGAGGTGCTCGGCGTACCGTGGGCTGGGAGCGCTCTCAGCCCAGCTCCGAGGCTCCTATTTCTACCTGGGACTTCCCAAACAGAAATGCACGTGCGAGCTCTGAAAAACCATGAGGGTTTTGGGGCACCAGCATTTCTGTGGTGTTCACTGTGCGTGCAGGGGGTGTGCAGCAGAACCCCAGAGTCCTCCTGGGAGCAGCGACCTAGCGGGGAGCCGCACAGGAACGTTGCACACGAGCAATTGGCCCAGCATCTCCCGAACGTGTCCAGCCTCTCACCGGGGAGACGAGGCACGGCGTGCATGGACACGTGCCCACCAGAGCGGGTGCTGCCAGCCCGCTCAGAAACCGTACGTTAGAGATGTGCAACAGGTCAGACTGGTTGTGAGGACGATCAGACAAACATGGAACAGTCTCAGTCTGCCAGGACACGATTTCTGTGCAGGAGGAGAACTTGGGCTCATGAAAACCCGGACAGACAGTACCATCTCCTCTCTGAGACTGGCAGCTCATTCAAACCAAGGGTCCCTGAACCAGTTTTAGGACCATCACTGCCAAGGCCAGCTTTAACAGCAAGTTTTAGCACAACATTTTTGTGCTGTGGGTGGAATTTGATGCTGAGTCAAGGGCCCGGATAAAGCCCAGCAGTTATGAGCAGAGAGAAAAATCTCTCCTGCAACAGGGGAGCTGCAGGCTGCCCCCCCTACCCCCCCTGCAAACAGCCGAGGGCTCTGACGAGCCATCCAGGGACCTCTGCCCATCACCCGTCCTCTCGGCCGCTCCTTGATGAGACTCAAGGGAGATGGAAGTGGTTTCTGAGCGGAAGGAGTCAGCCATGAACGGAACAGCCTGCAGCCAGGGAGCGAGCTCAGGCTGCGGCTCGTGGCGCTGACTTTTGGCTCTCTCATGATTAGAGCTCGGCCCCAGGAAGGAAGGGAGATTTGCATGTGCAGACGAGGGTGAAAGCAAGGGGACCTCCTTGCACAGAGGCAGGAGAGAAAGGGACGCAGGCAGCCGAACCCCGAGCCCGTACCTCAGCATCACGTCCGATTCTCTGACTATCTGGGCTATGTCACCCTTCCGGATCTTCTGCTGCGTCAGCAGCTCATGGGCCCTGGTCCACCTAGGGAAAGGCAGCAGAGTGAGCTTCCCAGGCAGCAACTTTAAGGCAGTCAGAAAAATAACAACTAAAACTTCCCGGTATTGCCACCAAGCCTAGAGACGGTCCAAGCCTTGTGTCTCGTAGTCCTCAGGGGCAAGAAGTTGCCAGGACAAGGCCAAGCTCAACGCATACAAGCACTCACCACTCCACCATGAGGGGACATTTCTCTTCCAGGGTCCGGTTGGGATCGATTTCAATGGGATAGTAATAGTGCAGCAGATCTTTCAGCTGGAGCGTTGTACAGATGGAAAAAGAGCAGAGTGAACATCACGTCTAGAGAGACTGTAAACACCAAAAAAACCCCATTTCTAAATTCCTCCAAAGCATCGCACTTCCTAATGAAAAACAACCCAAACCATTTCACCAAGAAACTTCACTCTGAGCAAATCTGGAGATCTCAGGAGGAAGCGTTAACCCTCCGGCAGCCTGGCTGACTCTCACCTTGCTTCAAATACCGCAGGTACAGATGCACACCCATACACCCTTCCTCTTATCAGACCAAAAATGCCCTCAGTTGAGCATGCAAATTAAACTTCTGTTTTTAACCTCTCCTTCCATTACCATCGGCTGAAATGCAGCCTGGACACTTGCCCTGCTCCCTGTCCTGGCAGCAAGGCACAGCTTTCGCCCATCATGTGAGCCAGTGCAATCTCCTGATGATGAGTGACAGGGACAAAAATCAGAGCGCCAAGGAGCAGTGCCTTACAAAACAGCACCTACCTCCTTCTTGCTGTCCTCACTGATAACATGACTGTTATCGAGGATATCTGTAAAGACAATAAAACGCCAGTGTTGTAGCCTTTTTATGTTTCTGGGCTTTCTCAAAGGCAGCTATCCCAGCTCTCCCCAAAAAACGAGCCAGATGTGGCACATTGACCCAAGCACAAGCTCGCCGCAGGGTCTCAAGGCAGCGGCTCCCCCTGCGAAACCGCAGCACGCGCTGATCGCGGGGCATTGCTCAAGTGGGACAGAGCAGCGTCAACGCTAGCAAGCTGCGGGATGCAAGTATTAGGAGAAACAGCAAGACCAGGAGACAACTTCTGCAGTGGGCTGCGGGCTGCCCGGGG